ATCATCGTGCTCATAGAACAGCGTGTGTAGAACTCCCCAAAGGCTTAGAGACACTTGGCTGAGCATCATTGTGCTGGGTGGAGTTTAGTCTTATGTATCTTACACATTTAATAAAGCTGAAGATTTAATAGCCACTAACGAATTAGAAGGGCTCATAGTTGCTGAGAACTGGGGAAGTATTAGAGGACTTATATAACTTTCATTATTGTGCGAAGTAATTTCCATGCTGTTTATTTTATTTTTGTTGTTCAGGATGGAAATGTTAAGACAGCAGGGGTTGTCTCCTTCCCTGTAGTCAGAACTTTCTGACTGTTTGCCCGCAGTGCTGATGGAGGCCCTTCCGGGTTGTTTCCCTCAGGCGGTTCAGTCAGACGCTCTTGCTTTCTGTCTGCTCTGGCAGACTAACCCTGGCTTTTGCATACTTAAAAGTGTGTGCGTATGAAGTTCTGCATGGCAGCACTTGAATGAATTAAGGCATTGTTTGGGCCAGGGGGCTGGAACAATTGCTCAGCAGTTAAGAGCACTGGCTGCTCCTCTAGAGGACCTGGGTTCAGTTCTCAGCACCCACATGGCAGCTCACAGTTGTCTATAACTCCAGTTCTAGGGGATATGCATGTTCTGCATGCAGGCAGAACACACATACACATAAAATAAACAAGTGTGGCTGAGTTTTTTCCTGTGTCCCGCCTGGCCCCAAGGTCAGGACAAATCTCTCTCACCCAACAGTCCCGCAGCCACTTGGACCCAAATAAACACACATAGGCTAATATTATTTTTAAACTATGGCCATGGCAGGCTTCTTCTTATCTAGTTCTTATATCTTAAATTAACCCATTTCTATTAATCTATACTTTGCCACATGGCTCGTGGCTTACCAGTACCTTTACATCTTGCTTCTTCTGGCCGCGGCTGGCAGCATCTCCCCTGCTCTGTCTTTTTCCTTCCTCTCTCTCTAGTTGGAATGTCCCGCCTAACCTTATTCTGCCTCACCATTGACCAAACAGCTTTATTTATCAACCAATTAGAGCAACACACATTCACAGCATACAGAATGACATCACCCATCAGATAACTTCAGCCAGGTGGTGGAGTTACACATCTTTAATCCCAGCACTTGGGAGGCAGAGGCAGGTGGAGCTCTAGGAGTTCAAAGCCAACCTGGTCTACATAGTGAGTTCCAGGACAGCCAGGGCTGTTACAGAGAAACCCTGTCTTATTTTTTTTTAAAGATTTATTTATTTTTATGTGCATTCATGTTTTGTCTGCATGTATGTCTGTGCGAGGGTGCCAGCCAGATCCTCTGGAATTGGAGTTACAGACAGTTGTGAGCTGCCATTGCCATGTGAGTACTGGAATTTGGTTTTTCAAGACAGGGTTTCTCTTTGTATTCCTAATTGTCCTGGAACTTGCTCTGTAGACCAGGCTGGCCTCGAACTCCAAGATCCACCTACCTCTGCCTCCAGAATTCTGAGGTTAAAGGTGTGCGCCACGACCACCTGCCTTGTAAAACATATCTTTAACCTATGAAATAATTGATTTGAAAGTATTTTGTTAACTTAGATATAAAAAAAGCTTCACAGATAAATGCCAAGCAACACGCACTATATATTAAAAAAGCACTGCTGTTTTTATACAACCATTATACCACCCAAGATGTGAGACATTTTGCTTATTTTCTTGAAGCCCCATAATGGCTCTAAAACTTAAAAAAAGTGTTTTCATAAAAGGAAAATAATTCTCTTACATTTATCAAATAAGAGAAAAGGATATAATTTTGGATATTTCCCCATTTCTGAGATCTACCTGCTTTGCATGATGGTGGTACTACTGCCTCCTCCCCTTCCTCCTCCCCTTCCTCCTCCTTCCCTTTCCCCTCCCTCTGCTCCTCCTCCTTCTCCCCTTCTCCTCCCCATTCTCCTCCCCCTGTTCCTCCTCCTGCTCCTCCTCTTTCTCCTCCCGCTGCTCCTCTTCCCCCTACTCCTCCTCCTCCTGTTTCTCCTCCTCCTGCTTCTCCTTCTGCTTCTCCTCCTGTTTCTCCTCCTCCTGCTGCTCCTCTTCTTCCTCTTCCTCCTGCTCCTCCTCCGGCTCCTTCTCCCCTTTCTCCTCCTCCCCTTCTTCCTCTTCCTGCTGTTCCTCTCCCTCCTCCTGCTCCTCCACTTTTTCTTCTCCTATTACTGGTTTTATGAATTTGCAGGACACCAGGCTTAACAGACATCTCTTGAGCACATCCTCTACATCATAGGGCATTAAACAGTTTGGGGACAGACTTGATCAAAGCTGGTTGTGTATGGATGAAAGTTCTAGAAAGTCTTAGTCTCCCTTAGGTGCCTTTTGCTGTGATGACATGCACACCACGGCAACTGATGGAAGAGTTTATTTTGGTTTACGCTTCCAGAGGGGAAGTCCGTAATGGTGTAAAAGGCATGACAGTTGGAGCAGGACCATGCTGGTACATCTTCAGACACATGCAGAAGACAGAGAGGAAACTGCCAGTGGGGCCTGCAGACTCTCAGAGCCCACCCCAGCCACCTGCCTTCAGCAAGGCTCCTGATCTCCCCAAACAGTGCCACCAACTGGGGACCAGCTGTTTAGATACCTGAGCCTGTGGGGGATGCTCTCCTTCATACCACCACACCCTTTGACATCCTCCTCCAACCAAGTCTCAGTGTCGGCACTGCTGGGGGGAGGGTAGCTTGTAATACTAAACAGTAGAGCAAACAGAGGTGAGCAGTTCTGTATTCAGAGGGGAGAGAAGTATGTTTTAAGCAGGGCACCAATAGAAAAAAAAAGAATGACACTTGTGACCATGATGAGGAAACAGAAGGCCATTTAAAAGAAGGTTGAAGTCTGAAAGGCTGGGCTTCTGTCTCAGTGGTAGAGAGCTTACCCGGCATGTGCAGGGCTCTAGGGTTGATTTCTAGTCTGTCTGTCTGTCTGTCTGTCTGTCTGTCTCTCTGTCTCTCATGCACATGCACACGCGCACACACACACAAAACCATGAAAACTTCATTTAAGGTATCACCTCTTCCAACATTCTTAGGGAATCTTTAGCCTTCCTCAGCTTTTGAGCAGGTCAATTAAGTTGGGGATGCTTAGGAACCTGTAGTCTCTGGCTGCTTAAAAGATCCCTGGAATTATGTACATAGCCTGCCTCCTGTCCTTTCTTAATTATTACATTCTAATTGTATAAGAATCTATACACATTTTATCAATTATCCTCATATACATTACAGTCACAAAATATAGTTGAAATCTGCATTTAAGTTTTTGTGTAGGAAAAAGAGATTAGCCGAGAGATATTATGATGAAAAGTGAAGTTGTGAATTACTGCACTTAGAATTTGCGGTTGGATTGCTATATCCCCCAATGCACACCCTCCCAAGAGCAGGTCTCTGGTGTGTTCTTGGGTGTCTGCAGTTCTTTTTGGTAGTGCAGCATTGGTTACATCTGGTGAATATCTAGCTTCTCTGTTGCGTGGGACTCCAGGAGAGCAGCAGTTGTGTCTGCTCTGCTCCCCACACCATTTAGCACATAGTAAGCACACAAATATATTAACTGCCGTTATGTGCACTGACGCTTGTGAGCACTATGAGAAGTCTGGGTGGTTGGGCCAGCCAGATGGCTCGGTGGATAAGGAGCTTGCTGCCAAGCCTGATGACCTTGAGTTCAATCCCAGACCCACATCGTGTAAGGAGAGAACTAACTCTTGCAGGTTGGTCTCTGCCCTCACATGTCCTCTGTGGCACTCATATTGTTCATGTCCAACAAATAACAAATAAATGTGTTTGTTTTTTGTTTTTAAAAAGAAATGTAGGTGGTTAGCCATAGGTCACGTGTATGGGCAAATAATTATACTTTTTATGAAGAGAAGTTGTGTATCGAGGGAGAAAGGAGCTGATAAGATACAGAAAGCTGATTCTGAGCACCGGTCATGAAGGCTGGAGATTCCCCAAGCTCCCCAATAAAGTTGTATAAACAGAGAACAGTTGCTGGAGGAAGAGGAGAACATCTTTGGAAGAGGTGCCTACAGGATGGGCAGGAAGTGCTCCACACAGTCTCTCCTGAGTTTTCACCTACACTGGGGAGAGCTGTGAGGGAGGACCGCCTTGGAGTCTTCTCCTGTGAGTGACCCCAGGGAACTCATTTCAAGCAAGACTTGGTTGGAATTAATTTTTTTGTTCTGTCCTTTTATTTATCTGGGATGAATAGACATTTATTCACATCATCCCAGGAAAAGTCACGCAACACAAAGATAATACATAGCTTGGAAAGCAATATTATTGAAGAAAAAAAAACACATAATTGTTAAGTCCCATCCATATGATATAGGAGGGAGAAAAATATTCTAAGTAAATGGTTACAAAATACTGGCATTGATTATCTCTGGGTTATGGGATTGTGTGTGGTTTTATTTTTCTTCATTTCCTAGTTACTTACAATGTGGAGAATCCAGCTTCTTTTACTTGGTAATAACTCCCCGCCCCCCAGTGTCTTATAGCCATCTCAACAATCAAAACACAAAAATAAAACTGCAACCAAAAAACACAACTCTAAACCCAAACCCACTTGAAATACTATTTATCAAATGGCAGTTGGAAATTAGCCTTTCCAACAACCTCGATATGACTGTTAGGTGATACGGATTTGTCACTGAAGTAGCCTGCCAGACTGAAAACTCTAGAGAAACTGATTTTCCCTTCTTCAGTGTTTCTTAAGAGTGGGTTTTAAGAGAGTCCATGGGTATGAAATGTAAGTCATACCCGGGAATAGCAGCTTGTCCTTACTCTTTTCTTAAAACAAGAAAGTAATCCATGCTCTCTCCCGATAGACAGGGAAATGCCTCTGTCAGGTGAGAAATCACTGGAAGGTCCTGTGGTTTGTATGAACCGGTCCCTCTGTTCCTATCTTGCCTGCTTCTCTAGGATAATTAAACAGTGATGGATCAGGACTAGGCTGCGGCAGAGATTGGGGAAAAAATCTCCCAGCATCCCTTCCTGCGGAAGCAGCCGCCACAGCCTCGGCATGAGTGTAGCTGCCACTGTAACTGACAGGTCTTAAATTCAGCCCTGCAGGGCTCCGGGCTGTCAGATGCCTCCTTACTTCTCTCTCTGCCGGGCTCTGGCGATCGAACGTCTCTTTGGAGACCAGGGAACGAGGTTGAAGGGCTCTGTTGGTTTTTTCCCCGAGGAATGGCTCTTGCTTTAGTTGGCTTTTAAAAAGATGTGGTAGAAGAGAGGGAAAGACGGCCGGCCGGCTTCCTAGTGGACCCTGTTCTTTCCTCTGAAGTTCAGCTGCTGTGCGCCTGCCCGTGAGTATGTTGTGCTTGTTTAGCAGTGCCAGGGGGACGTGGCTGCAAGGTTCTCGTTAAGTCTGGGAGCATTTATTTAAGGAAAGCTTTGGGGGGAAAAATTAAAGCGTTCAGTTTCACTAGAGACCTGCAGGTTTCATTGATGACATTGTCCTCTTAGCAGCTTCCTGTCAGCCTTGGCAGGGCTTCCCACGCCCCCTCCCTTTTTTGAATCTTCCCGAGGGTGAGTGCTGTAAATGCAGAAAGCAGCACGTCTCTGTCTATGCGCCTGCCTGCCTCCCTGCCGCAGAGGCTGTGGTCTTCCTCAGTGCCATGGCTGGCTGACCGATTACTGCAAGGTGTGCCCTGGGGCTCCCCAAGACTTCCACAGCAGAACAATGGCAGCAGGAGGAGGCTCACTGTGTTTTGTCTTAGGTCCTCTGCTGCCTTCTTCCTAGCATTTTGTTTTGTCTTGTTATGGTAATTCAGACCTTAAAGATGAGTAGAGTGATCTTCATTCAGAAATAGCCTGTGTCATTTACCCTAGACCTTGACCTCCCACTGGTGGTGGTGGCTTCAGCCAGTCTCTGTAGCAGATCATAGTGAAGTGAGCTCTGCTTCATGACCTTTTCAAGTTGTGCATTGGAATCACTGCTGATTCGTGTGTGTGTGTGTGTGTGTGTGTGTGTGTGTGTGTGTGTGTGTATGTGTGTGTGTGTGTGTGTGTCACACACACACATACACATGCACACATACAGATCCTGAACTCAGAACATCTGTCCTGAGTCATTGTGCCCCACTTTTCCCCTCTGGAATTCACCAGAGGCTACAGCGTTTCTTTCCTGGATTGGTGAATGCACTCTGGGCGTTTGGTTAGCATTGAAGTTGATTTTGGATTCCTCCTGTGACCCCCACATGTTCTTGTTGGTCTTTGTGAACTGATTCATATCAGTTGGCCATCGATCTCCTCCCTCTATCTTAAAACCACATTAAAGTGACTTTTAGAAGTAATCTATTCAGAGGCTGGTAGTCAAAATACTTTTAAACGCCAACTGGCTTTTGTACATGTAATATGCTTAACTTAGCCTGACATAATATATGAGCTTTTTGGGTGCCAGATTTGGTTGATTTCCTGCAGAGTAAAAATAAATGAAGGATTTTTTAAAAAAGACAAAATCCCTGCCACCTAGAGATCAAACATCTGCTGTTTTTATTTTTAAACATTTTGTCATACCTAAGTGCAGCAACTTGAATTTAATTAGGAAGGGTTGCTAAATTTAGGACACTCTGCCTTTAAGTTTCCAAAGAACATTCATTCATTCATTATTTTATTCATTCTTTTCACAAATGTTCACATTTGTTGCAAAGCTTTTTCCAAGCTCTGGGGATATGATGCTGATGAAAATACTGTATTTGGACTCCAGAAGCAGATATTTTTAGTAGGTAAAGGAGGCCGTTAAAACCTAATTACCAAGTTATTTCATTAGAGCTGCGGTGAGCTTTTCAGCTATATAGCTACAGGCTACTTTGTGAGCAGCCTTTATGGGACACATAAATGCTTGTAACTAGTGCTGTCCCAGATCTTCAATCACGGAACCTTTGAGTTCTTAGCTGGAGAGAAATGTTAGAAATATGCTCATTAGTTCAGAAGCATACAATAAGTACTGTAAGTATAGGGTTTAGGTTAGAACTGGTTTCTGTTTTGGTTGGTCCATTGGGGAAGGGAGGGAAATTGGTTATAGGTACACTCTGTGCCATCATTTCCCTGTCTTAGGAGAGAAGATAGAACTGGACTCTTCTTCAAAGGTTTTCTGTGCGGGCTCAATGCTTTCGGTCAGTCTCCTCCCCCTCATCCTCCCCCTCTTCCTCCTCCTCTTCCTCCTCTTCCTCCTCCTCCCTTTTCCTCCTCCTCCCTCTTCCTCCTCCTTGTCTCCCTCTTCCTCCTCCTTGTCCCCCTCTTCCTCCTCCTCCTCTTCCCCCTTTTCCTTCTCCTCCTCTTCCTCCTCCTTCCCCTCCTCCTCCTCCTCTTCTCTCTTTAAACTTAGAGCGACTGCCCTGTCCCTGGATTCACAAATGAGGAACTGAGGCACACAGAGGTCGGCCCCCTGCATGGGGTCGTTCAGAGTGCTGATTGTAATGGCCCCACTTGTAAGATGGCAGACCTGAGTTCCTTGGTGTGATTGCCTTGTGTCTCTTAGCTAGAGGCCGACTGGGGTGGAAATTTCAGTGTATTTCTGGATATCACGCATCATGAAAAAGAAAGAGTGATTCTTCCCTTTGGCCCCAAGCCCTGATCTTCCTATCATTTGCAGTTGCTTTCCTCTTCTGACATATACTTGCATCCTCTGCTCTCTTTAGAACGGGCAGGGCTGTGTGTGGACGGACTGAGCTCTAGTGGTGGATGCACATGGATGAGGTTCATCCGAGAGAGGGGGTGTGGGTGGGAAGGGGCCAGCTTGTCTTGCACTTCATGTTCAGATGCTGTCACCAAGGCCAGACAGCTCTCTGTCTGCCCTGGCAGCCTTTTCTCACGGAGCCTCACAGCATCGGTCAGTTTCTGCAGAGCAGTAATGAGCAGAGCGCGACTTCTCAGCAGAGACATTCAGCAAGGCTCCCTTGACCTGCTGCAGTTTCTAGATGGCCACGCTGCTCTGTGGGAACTGTGACAAAGAACTCGTGAGCCTGTGGGCTCTGTTGACATCGTACTCCCCTCACCAGACCCCTTGGTGCTTCCAGCTTCATCTCACACCTTAAAGCCTGCAACTTTGGCTGAGCTGGGGCCGTCCCCCTGCAGGGGACAGTTCTTAGGTTACACGTGAAAACATAAAAAAGCATGGCTCTTCTAAAGCTTGTTTGAATCTTGAGTGCTGTGTCCACTTGGATTTGCCTGTCCTGTGACTATCTGTACATGTACCGCACATGTGACTGTCCTCTGCACTGAAGACGTAAACACATCGGGCAGGACAGGCCTGTGGGTGTTAGCGACCCCTCCGAAGACTAACACCCAGGCATTAACCAAAATGGTGGGGGCCTTGGTGAGAGTGAAAAGCCGTGGTGCTGTTGTTCTAAGGAAGACTTAGTGCTCAGCATGTGGATTTGAGGCGAATTTCACGCGTGGTTTCTCTTCTTTTGATGGTTCACCAGTCCACAGGTGTGGACAGTCTGGAGTGACCATTCAGGTGGGATGAATGGACTTCTTTAGTGATTATTTTAGATTAGTGGGTTATAGAATACTTTATTTGAGATCATTACAGGTGACTGCAGTTTAGAAAGAGAAGAGCATGGGGCTAAGACTTGAATTTCATCTGTGGTTGAGGCTGTGGTCATTATCTTCTTAGAGAATAAGGCAGAATTTGAGCCTTTCAGCGATCCACAATCCAGGACGTAACGTAAGACATTGAATTGCTGTTCACCTCCATAATAGCTTAGGTTTCTCTTTTCTTCTTTTCTTTTGTTTTCTTTTCTTTTGTTTTCTTTTCTTTACTTTTGTTTTGTTTTGTTTTCTTTTCTTTTCTTTCTCCCTCCCTCCCACCCACAATAACATCCCATTATGGCAGCCATTCCATCTGATAGCTTTATTCCGTAGCCTGAGTAAACATAGCACATCAGCTAGGAGAGCGTGCAAGTGTGGGAGAAGAGTCAGTGCTGATGTTTAATTTCTCAAGTATTTGTACGCCTCTCCTTCCATGCTAATACACCCAGCAACATCTACGCACCAATACATCCCCATGTGTTCATACTTCATACACTGCTCCAGTCAGTCAGTGGGCAGAGACACGAGCTAGTCTGAGAAGATGGCTTTTGGGCTGCGGTTCCTTTTTCTCTCCCTCATGGTTTATGAGGTGAAGGAAATGAAAACTTGTCTTCGCAACCATTGTTGTTTAAAGACATCTTGCTATTCTTTGTTTCAACTTTGATTTTTTTTTTTTAAGTGAACAACTTCTTCCCAGTCATCCTCACCCTGAAAACCTGCATTTGCTGTGCGCCCTGCAAATATCTGCTTCTATGCTGGGAGGGGCATGGTAACTGGCCAAACACTGCTTCTAGCCGCCTCTGCCCCAGGATTGCTGGAAACACTAGGCAGAACTGCTGAGTCGCAGGAATGTTGTGGTCTGTGTAATGGGAAGTTCTTGGCTCTCCTCACCTTAAGTGGTGTAATAACATCACCTCCGCCTACAACCCCTTACATTTATTTATGTGCTGTCTCAGTTTAAAAGGTGATTTTACAACCGCAGTGCATCTCATTGTGGGAGCGTCCCTGTGAGGTAGACTGAGCCCCGAATTGTTCTTTCCTGCTCTTGCTGAGGCCCATCATCCAAACTGTTGACGCACCTGGCGTAGCAATCCAGTTCTGCCTTGTGTCCCAGCACACTGCCTCCTCAGTCTCTGTGGTGTTCTGGTGAGAAAGGACGAGGCTGAAATGAAGGAAATTTCCTGCTAGGAGTGAGCCCTCCAATAGAGAAGAGACACCCCCCCCCCCCCCCGCATTTTCCCTTCAGTTAAGAGAGACTGAGCTGTTGGACCCAGGAAGATCCACAGGAGCTGCACACGTCTCTGCCAGTCTGCCACCCTCCTGCCGCTTGTTTCCAATAACACAGGGGATTGGGTTTGCTCTGCTCGAGGAGAGACGTTAAGGCCTAGTTCCTGTTCTTGGGAGTTCGCTGTGTCTTTGGGCACGGAAAACAGCACTCCTTGGGGACAGTTCGAACAGATAGTAGTCTCCCTTCTGTCCCCGGAGTAAGTCAAGCCTGAACTGCTGTACGCTCCGTGGAAATGAACTTTTATTCTTTCCAAACGGTCTCGCATTGCAGCAAAGCCCCCATTCCCGCCAGGACCGGAAAATAAAGCAGCACGAAGCTGTCAGCTAAGTTGACTTTCCCATCTCCAGTCTTCTCTTTTGGAAAGATTGTGGAGCAGGTGGTGGTGAGGCAGGGTCACTGCCGAATGAAGTATGAACTGAAACCCTCCATCTGTATCTCCTTCCTGTCCTTCCAGGTGGGGAGGGGCGGGGGCGGGCAGGA